ATTTCGTTTTAGCAGTATTTTCCTTTTTGTTAGTTTTTTTAGTGTTGACTAGTAGTTTCTCACCCCAGATGATACATAATACAAGGTCTAAGTACACACAGGGGACGAGAATATTCTCATCGTAATTTTAATCTATCTAAGCAAATGAATTTCAGCTGAGTTCGAGGATGGTCATATTTTTTTGACCTAGACAGTGGAGTAGAGTCATTAGCCGTCACACTGCGGGTCCTGGTCTGGTATAAAAACACGAATTAACTAGGTTGTATTATTGGACTAGTCAGTTGCAGGTCATATTTCGTTGGTTTCTGCTTTATTTCCTGTCTCTGAAGTTATCATATCCATCTAAGCGGAAATGTAACAACTGCCCATGGAATCATGACATGACTTAGCGTAAAATGTACACTGCAGTCACAACATGTAGTGAATTTTGTGTCCACATAGTTTCAACATGTTTCTGAATCGCAGTATTTATTGTACACTTTATTAACTAACAAGGAAATTTGAAACTAATTAATTTCAGTCTTAAGAAGCAAACCATTGTCGTTTTCTTTTCTCTTCATTCGTCAGTACCAACAGAAGTACTGCAAATATTCTTTGTGAATGGTACTATCAGTAGGTAGCTTAAATATTTCTATTCTTTCAGCCGAATAATCGATGTTTCATGAATATTTTACTGTTTTAGATGGTAATTATTTTAATAATTGATTGTATAAGGATTTATTTTAGTCTTATTCAATTGTTTTGACATATCGCATTTCTGTAAATGATAGGTGTCGCTGATGGTGTTGGTGGCTGGCGGTCATATGGAGTTGATCCTGGTCGATTTTCCAGGGCAGTTATGAAGAATTGTGAGCGTCTTGTAAACTCAGGACGTTTTATGCCCGATAAACTGGATATTCTAATAGCTCAGTGCTATGAAGATGTTCTGAATTCTAAAGAACTTATTTTAGGTATGTATAATCAACCAATTTTACTTGCTTACACTCTTGTTCACAAACCTATGTGCGGTGGCTTGTACACTTTTATTAAAATTAGGAAATCATATAAAATTTCTGATAATCCTGATGGTCTGGAGACAAAAAGTAGTATTGAAAGGTTTGAAAAGGATGAATTGAACATGACAACACGGATTTGTTTCTTTCACCTGTCAACTTTTGCCTATAACTTATAAAAACCGTTCGGTGGATTACAGTTGTTAAGTCAGTTATTGTCAAAAGAGATTAAGAGTTGTACACATAAAAATGAAATGGACAAGGTATTTTGAGATGCGATTATGTATACATTTTTGTGAAAAAATTTTACCGGTAACAAGAAGGGTATTATGGAATTTAGAAAATCTAGTGGATGAGGTTGTGAGTAACGTTATAGACAGAGGTTTCATAATCATTTGAGTTCAGTGGATTGGTGCAAGATAAATAACTGAGTAAACAAATACCAGATATCAAAAAACTGTTTCTTCTTGGACGCTTATATGTGGTTTTAGCTTTTTGACGATTACTTTTAATAATTATAACATACGAGCCTCCGTCGATAAACTAACAAAGTGCAATAAATTCATCCCGGCCGACGCACCCTTTGTGCGTCGGTGGCGCAGTGGTTAGGACTCTCGCCGACCATGCACATGGTCCGGGGTTCGATCCCCTGCCGGCGCACACCCGATATCTATGGTCGGCCTGAATTTGGGCTACCGATATCCATGCTGAAAATTCCATACTTGTACTGAAAATACGGTGTGGAATCAAGCTGTAAATCAAAATAAAAAAATAAATAAATGCTAAGGATTATACAGGGTTACAACAAATATAACAATTTACTTTTAGCTAACGAAAATTTATGCCTTTAGCGTTTATCTAAGAGATTGGCGTCAATGTGCACATTCAGTTAGACGATAAATTTCTACTTCTCTTTATAGAATTAAAAACTGCAGCAGGATTTTCGTGATGAATTTAACAGATGACTATCATTTTGGTAATTTCAGGTCTAGTAAGTTTCTGCCTACTAACCTTTAGCCTTCTTGGAGTTCTGACACGTTAACTATTGACAGTGTAGTGTGAAAACAGAACTACATATAGGTTGTCCAAATTTCCGCTTCCGGACCATAACTTTGTAATCGTACTCTATCACCCTACGTTATTATATTATTGATACATTTTTTTGTTAGGCCATAGTTCAACAGTTCGCTGAAAATATTTTGAAGTTGATTATTCATTTCTTCATTTGAAAATGTTTGTTTATGTAGTGCATTCACCTTTCTGACTTTTACAGGAAGTGCCACTTTATGCATTATATCCTTACAGCGAAATGAACACAGAGTGTATGGAGCTAGTTTGGGCGACAGTGGCTATCTGGTTATACGTGAGGGAAATGTAATTCATCGATCGGTTCATCAGAAGCATTCATTTAACACGCCATTCCAGTTGGCCTGTTTACCAATAGTTCATTCAAGGCAGTTTCACTGTGACTTGTAAGTTAAAAGCAAATTTTTGATAACTTTAAAGTGGTTGGTTAATGAGGGATTAGTTTGTTCCTTAATAGCTATTATGGGACCATGAGTTAGGAAACAAAGAAATATTTAATAATTTGGAGGTTACCTGTGAACACCTTGCAGTGATCGAGATTTCCATTATTACCTTCAATCATTGTCCATTACAGTAAAAGCAGTCTTGAATAGAATTCACCTAGGTCAAGGGAGAGACAAAGGTAGAACAAACTTCTTTTGTATGCAAAGACTAGGATTGTTCTCTCGAATTAATTCCCATAGCTTCGGCTACGTGTAAAAGATGGGTTCGAATTCCGTTCGAAAGGCTCAATGGAATGCGATAGATAACTTTGAAGGCACTACTTTTGTCCACTTGGTGACCGCTATCAATCAAATGAGCTAAAACAGAACTTTTTATAGATTTTATTTGACCTTTTCCGAACCAAGAAGGAAGATGCTCATTAGTGCGTTTGTTAAGCTGTCTAGTTGTTCGCTCTCCACAGGAGCAACTAAATTTGTAGATACACATAGAAGTGCCACAGCTAGGTAGCTTGTCTTTCACTTGAGCAATCATAATTGATCGGCTGGAAAGTGACAAACAAAGGGTGGTGGCAGCATAAGTCCGTTTTATCGCTCTCGATAATCTCAGATGTAAGACTTCGCTAGGCACGTCCCCATTAAATTGCAGTTTCATGAACAGTTGTTTCTTTTCAACTGTTGTCAGTTTCTCTTTATTGTACCTGGTATTCATGTGTCTCCTTACAAATCTACTATGATAACCTATTTGGACCTTCGTACTTTTATGATATTTATTTAAACTCTGATTATCTGTCCACTTCACCTTTAGTATTACGTAACTTTTAAGAGGTGGCCTAATTTATTTATTGAATTGTCTACACATACACATACTTACTACCTTCGTTATTCTTATCGCCACCTACATAACCTTATTATCATTATTTTGTTATCATTATAACCGTCATTAATGACGTTCAAAACATTTACCACATTATTATTATGATATAATCCACAAAATCACCGTCATTGGTTAAAATTTTTATATATAAATCTGTGTAAATTAGAGTAAAGCCTGAAGAAGATCTAATTGAAAACAATATTGTCGTTAATATGTCTTGTTCTAATATTAAAAATGGGAATATTTAAAGATTTAAAAGCAGTCTACCAAAGTAAGGCAATCTCGGATAGTCCCACCACCGATTACTGAAGGGTTTAAAAGTGATGATTACGGATTTCCATCTGTGTCGCGAGTTGAAATAAGATGTTGGGGTTTGTTAGTTAATAACAAGTGTTTAGTATGGATAGCTGAATGCCATTTTACGGACAAAAAAAGGCAAATCTGTTGTAGAACTTTATGGAAACTATTAAAATTAGGGGGAGGGGAGAAGCTAGAGTTTGAGTTTGTTGAAAAGAACTGCCATTAGAGTGTATGGATAGTTCTACAAAATCTTTTCCGAATACGAAGTTTACGTTTCTGTTTTCTTCTAATTTTGGGAATATGAAGCTAGAAAATACTTCGGTGTTCGAATAAATGATCCAAATAACTGGGTACAACTGTATTTTGTTTAAATTCATCTCAAATCGTCCTAATACCTTTTTTTTCTCATCACGAATCACTGGAGCATACGGATTAGAATTTTGTTAGGATGATATCAATTTCCCTCGTGGTTACAAAAGCTTCTTGTTAATTGAGTGTCTGTAAGCGTAAAGTTTAGATTCAGGGTCTTCTTGTGATTGTCTCCCATCGCCTTACATAAATTATTAGCATACCACAGGGTTAAATCACCCGGTAGAATTTAGTCAGTGCTAAACACCAGACAAAATGACATTGATTACTCTTCAGTGTTCAGTTAATTATGTTTAACTGTTCTCAGTCTTCTTATTAATAAGGATAAATAGTAAGGTGCACTTTCCTCGTAAATGCATGTCTGTGACTAACATCATTTTTGATTTGTTAGCTTCATTGAACAGTGGAAATATGGAAGAATACTTTTTAACACGCTTCAAATAAATACTGTTATTGTTTGAGGATTGTTTTTTAGATGGTCGTCAGTGTGTTACACGATACGTTTGTATACTCTTACCCAGTCAGAGAATGCACCTGGGTAACGTGGGCTAATTGGGTAATTTTGATCGGCCAAGACGTGGGCAAAAGGTGGTTAAAACGCTACATAATTAACCCACTTTACCCATATTGGCCACTTTTCCCCGTTTGCCCATGTCCCGAAAAATTTTATTGTCCCACTTTTTCAACGAACACTTTACCCACTTATTCCCACTTTACCCATGCCACAACCGAAAACAGCCTACCTTTTCTCACTTTGCACAAATTTGAACGGAAAACTGCCCACGTATCCCAGGTCTCCCCCCCAAAACTTCACCAACTGGGTACTTACTTCACATGTGTTCGGTATCACTTTATTCTTATATCTGTCTGTCTCAGTGATGTTTTTAGTATATGTGATAATATTTCACTTGTTTCCTTTAAATATTAATTACGTAGGCCGAACCAAGCTGTTCAAACTAGTGTGGAAGTTAAACCTGGTGATATTATAATCGTTGGCACAGATGGACTATTTGATAATCTAACTGAACCAATGATATTACAAGAAGTTAAAAATATTGAAGTAAGCCCCAATGTTTTTTTAATTTCATGATCTTATTGGCTTTTGCACGCTGTTATTTGAAGTAAATCTCCCATAGAAAGTAGACTTAGCACAACAAGTTTTAAAAATTTACTTCAGTCAAATTTTAGGTTTATTAATCAAAACAGTTGAACTCCTCAAGTTGACGCTTTTCATTGAGATGGTTGCAAAGTCTTTTAGATTTCAAATTTCTTCTTACAAGACAATATGAGTTGACACTTGTAAAAATGAATGTTGCAGAAGACAAGCGATTACTTCTTCTGCCATTTGAATGAATCTCCAAAGTCTTTCACCCTCTTTGGGCCAGAACGGTAGGCCGTACTCATTGCTGGACGTGGGGCAGAGCAGTAATGCCAAGAACAAACCTAAACACCACATTGCCTTGCAGTCAAATAACCACAGGCTTCGGTGCTGGGCTAATCCCTGTTCACTCGCAATTACTACGAGAATCCTCGTTAGTTTCTTTTCCTCCGCTTAGTGATATGCTTAAGTTCAGCGGGTATTCACGTCTGATCCGAGGTCAGGGTGAAACTGATAATGTGCATTAGACACCCTCGGTGAAGTCATAGACTATGTATAGACCTCCAATCAAGCCGTTTATTTATATGTAAGTGTATTCACGATAGGTCATGTACTCTCGAGCGTTTATATATATTTATATGCGTATATCATAAAGCTACGACTCGAGCACGACCCACCAGGGCGACTCAATCAGAAGTTATACACCAGACAAGGTGTGGCCAGACATATTAGGATGGAGCCTTTGACCAGCAACCCGCGTTGATATACGGATATACACGCCGGTAGGCACTCGCCCAATCCTCGCCAAAGTGTCTTTCACTGGTATCTGTTTCCAAGTTCTCATGATGGGACTTATAAATTTATCTGTAAGTTACCCATCTAAACATATATTCACTATCACAAATGTGTATTATGAGATTATTTATAAGAATTTGTGTGAAAATGTTGAGTTGAATAAAAATCACGTGCTTTACGCGTTAGGTTTTAAAAAAAAACTAATATACCTAATTTCCAAGATGCTTTTCTAATGCGAAATTACGTGTTCCGTTGACTAACAAGTAAATCGTATGTTTTCTTGCCAGTTTTTCCGTCAATTGAAGATATCATGATGTATTTAATACAAGATAAAACATAACGACCGAACCATTATTTTATCAACAAAGACAGCATATCGTTTTATGAAATTAATAAAGCTTGGAAAAGTTATTTTTAGGACTAACTAATCTCATTTTATTTCAAGACTGACTGACTGGTTACAATGTAGAACTTTGCATAAATGTGCACCAGTTCTAGTTGCCACTCTCCCTAGCTTTAGCACGCAAAGCAAGAGAGGAGAGTGAAGAGAGATTCAAAAGAGAGATAATAAACACAAATGTGAGGCAAAAAGAATAGTAATATGGAAGAACAGCACTTTCATTCGCTTTAATAAGTCACAAAGAGTGAATGCATCTGCGCCAGCCATTGAGAACGATTTTGGGCCATATCACTGATTGTCTCCAGCCAATGGTATCCATCATCCTGAAGACCCCAACCAGGAAGTCCACATCTCCCTACCTGGCTGGCTGATGCAACTTCCAAAATAAGTGAAGTGGTTAACACGTTCTGCTATTTCACTCCCTGTCTGTAAGCTAGGAGTCGATGTGGTCCAGTCCTTTAGCATCATCTCGCATTTGAAAGGAGCAAGTTGCACGCCAAACATTCTAAGATTTCTGCCCAAAGTGTTCAGACAACTCTACATCCTATCAGAATCTTCACTTAGGAGGATTATATTATCCGCACACCCCAACTTCACAAAGATATTCCCTGTTAATAAGTCAATCTCCAAGTCACTGAACTCAGTTTGGATTAAGCTCATTAATACATCTATAATGAAATTAAACAGAAATGGGGACAGTGGACATCCCTGACGGACACCATTAATTGTCACCACTTCAGATGACAACTTTCCGTAAGTTCTCACCTGGATGCCTGAGTTCGAGTATAATGCCTTGATCAGTGCGATGTACTCCCTTGGCATTCCCTTCACAACCAGACATCGTCAGAGTACCCCTCGGTTGACAGAATCAAATGGCGTTTTCAGGTCAAGAAATATGACTATTGCTGGACCGCCGACAAGTATGCCGATGTTCAAGAATCTGTTGAAGGGTGAAGATATGATCAATATACCCTCTCCCTCGTCCTCTCGTGTTTGTTTCTCCCGAGAATCGCTTAGTCTACGCACTATTATTGTACCTGGAATCTTAGATACCATATTAGTCAAGTTAATCCCCTTGTAATTATCACAATAGGACTGGTCTCCTTTCTTGTATATCGGGATAATCAATGACTTACACCAGCTCGATGGGACTATCTCTGATTCCCAGACTCTGCCTAATACCTTGGGTAACACAGACAGTAAACTGTATCCACCGTCCCTGGACACCTCAGGAGTCATTCCATCAGGTCCCGCTGTTTTGCCTCGTTTCAGACTAGTGATAGCTTTTGTAACCTCAGTTAGGGACGGAGGACCTGTGTTTATATCCCATTCAGGGAGATGTTGGATGCTGGGTAAGCTGAGCGTGAGTGACTGTAGACCAATTAAATTTGTCTTCAAAATGTTCTTTCCAATGTTCCAGTCGTCTATCCTGAGAGCTAATTATGGTGCTATTTTTCTCAGAGATTGTTTCATTTATCATTTACCTTTTGCCACCTTTTTCTCTGAATAGTCTAAATAGTTATCTGGTGTTGTCTATCGCTTATGCGTTTTCCACCTCTTTCGCTTTTGTCGCCCACCAGTGTTCACGGTCGTTGCATAGACTTCTTGTTAGTTTGCGTTTGAGCAACTTTCGCTTCTCATCATATTCGGAGCTCGCTGGAATCAGTCTTCTTTCGTTAATCAGTTCGGATGAGGTGGTAGAAATCCACTGTCTCTTACTAACTTTTGTTTTTTATGTTATTAATAGCCTCTACAGCTGTAAAGGCTGTTATTACAACACTGTTCAACTCTCTACAGGCTAAAATTAAAGTTCATTTCAAATCATATATGGATAAGTGATGTAACTGTTTGAGACTAAAACGAATTTCACAGACTATCACTTTTTTATTTACTTATGGCGACTTTTAATTTCAACCTGTTAACACTTAATGAGAAGACAGGAATAATTTGAGCTGACAAGAATATTCTAGAATATTCAAACTTCTCAAACTATTTATGTTTAATGTCACACAAACTTGAAGATCTACAGGCGAAAACCAACAAGCCAGCCGGCAGGAGAGGTAGGTAACGCAAACAGGACCTCAAGTGAAGATAGAGGAAAGGTGACAAAGATACCTAACCAACAACATGCAGCAGTCACTATCAATGGGAGAAATTTGAAAAAAAGGCCACCTTTTTCACTTATCTAGGCAGCATTGTGTAAAGTACTGGTGGAATGGATGATATCAAACCCCAGGATCAGAAAGGTATGACAAACCTTCGTTATCCGGAAATCAATATTGAAATCTGCTGCACTCAGCATAAAGAACATGGTTCGGATTTTCAACATCAATGTCAAGTCAGTTCTATGTGGTGTGGAGACTTGGCGTGTCGCCAAAAGCATATCCAACAGGCTGCTGCAGACGTTTATCAACAGAACTATTGCAACGAACCACTCAAGAGGAGCCTATGACTCAACAAGTATGCGAGAGGAAATTTGGATGGGCTGGACATACACTGAGGAGACCGTCTAGTAACATCATTCACCATGTCTGCGATTGGAACCCGAATGGGAGTTGACTTTTGGTTCGAGGGTAACATGGGGTAGACCGTGTGAGGAGAAGCCAGCCAAATAGTACTTCAGATATACTGTTGCAACTCCCCTATGTTGCACTTGGAACCCATAGAAGACTTGAAATAAAATGGGCTTAACTTATTATGACAATGTTTTCATTCTCGCTATGCTCTGAAGTTCATTTAGTTACGAATCACACTGACCATTATAAAATGCCTACTCATAAGTATATGCTCATAGGTAATTTTACGGGATTACGGTATTGATTACTGGATGACGTTTTGAGCACAATTTATTGTACATATTCATATCATTGAAATGATTATCAATACTGTGTCACTGCGTCATATCAAGTAAAGTTATGCAATGTAGAACAGTACTTTAACACAATGCCCAAATTTTACTCTTCAAAATTAGAGTTTCATTAGAGTTTTGGTGAAAAAGAATGTTAATGATGTGTTGCTTCCGGTCACATAGTGTTGATTCTTCCAATAGGACGAATAATAATTATTGTTTTGTCTATGACATTTAGATTTCTGTATTTACACTTATTCATTTTAGTTGCTTGCAAATTGTACAATTGAAAGCCTGAAACAATGTGCTAAACGTCTTGTGGAGCAGGCACGAAGCGCAGCATTCGCTCCTGATTTTGTCTCTCCATTCGCTAGTGAAGCGCGTCGTTATGGTATCAATATAGCAGGTAAGTTAATGTTTAAACTCATACTTTTACCCACCAACATTGTCCTCTGTTTATAAGTTATTTAAGGGTGTGTGAAATGAAACAAATAAACATTGAGTTTAAACAAGCACCCTTCTGTATTCAAGTGTCGGTTTTCAGGGATCTGAATGACTACAGGATTTCATCATGAGCTGACATCAGTTAGAGAACCATTGGAAAACCAGCTGGGAGTACTGGACAGCCGTCTCGTCCCAGTTTGTGACTCTTCGTCAGTACTCAATGAAATCCTCTAACGATTCTGTATTTTTGGTTTACGACCGCGGATGAAGCTGTCAGTGAAACTATATATATATATATATATATATATATATATATATATATATATATGCTGTTACACTGTTTGTCCAGTCACATTCGTCATCATAAGCTATCCCAACTTGTCTACTTACAAACTTTGCCTTAAATGAATACACTATGTGACTTTTATTGAATTGAAGATACTCAGCAACTTCCAGGTTTTTTGACATGGGTAGCAATATAATCTCACACAAGGTTGAAAGCAAGAGAAACGAATTTCTGTTCTATTCTAATATGATACTCACAAAAGTCATCCACCTATCACTGCTCCAGTTTTGAGAATCCTGCTGATGGTGAGATATTATAGAGTTACTAGGCCAATATGTGTTATCACTGTTACGCTTCACTTCAGCGGGTAATGTATATTCATGTCCTTAGAGGATGCCTATCATATTAGAAATATCTATAGTACAACCTATAGTACTATAGTACTTTGATTCGTCTATGCGACCGAAAGCTGCTACCTTGACGTGGTGGTCGGGCTTGCATATCGCAATGACCCAACGAGCTACACTGGCTGGAACTTAAGTTCCTGTAGGTCCTACCATGCCAGAAAGGTTGTTTGGATAGCGGTTAGACTAAAAGCAGTTACCCAATCCAATCCTATGACTTCAAACAAATCACAAAATATCATGCCGGATCGGTCGGGGCCCGGATTAACAACGACCGCGCTTCCTGCTGCCGTGTCACAGGGCAGAAGTGATAAATACGCTACTGAGACACACCAAATAAAAAAGAACAAACAAAACAGGCCGTGTGTGACCGGCCTCAAGCAGTTGTCCCTTGGGCTCTGCGGTCACGCAACCAACTTCCACGGTGTGGGCAGCCGGGAAGTAACAATCGCCCTCACACTCCAAAGTGCACGCAAAACCTCTCTAATCCTCACTCATCTTTGTATCCATCTTCATCTCTATTATCTTGCCTTCCTTCTACCAATGCAACTCCTCTACTTGATGGCCCTTCACTTCCTCTTCAATCTGTGTGCACTGATAACGATGGAAGCCAAAAAGCCACCATCGATAGTCTCCTAAAGCCACGCCACCAATTTCATATAGGGGCATTTAACGTTAGGACACTTTGCCAAATAGGACAACAGGCATCACTAGCCAAGACTCTGGCATCCCGAGCCATTGATGTATGTTGTGTTTCAGAAACACGCATACAAGACCCAAGTGTGGTTATTCACCTAACCCCACCTGGCCAACAGGATGAATCTGCAAAATTCACCTTGAGGGTGTCAGGAGATGCGACGGCTAGCTCACGAGGATTAGCTGGTGTTGGGATAGCTTTGAGTACTAGGGCAGAAAAGACATTACTTGACTGGATCCCGGTAGATAGCCGAATGTGTGCTGTCCGTCTGAACGGATCAGTGAAAAGGAGAAAGGACTGCACTACCCGCCGATGCCTTTTCGTAATCTCCGCCTACGCCCCCACTGACTGCAGTTCGGATGAAACGAAGGATGAGTTCTACCAAAAGCTGTCTAGTTTGCTGCGAAAGGCTAAACGCTCAGATATTGTCGTTTTAGCTGGTGACTTTAATGCTCAAATAGGGAAATTGTGTCAATCTGAGAAGAATGTCGGTGGCACATACGGAATTCCGTGCCTGCGAACCGACAACGGTGACCGTCTCCTACAGTTCTGTTCAGATAATCATTTGTTTCTTGTAAGCACTAACTTCAAACACAAGGACAGACACTGTTTGACTTGGCGACCCCCATCATCAAATCAACGCTGGACACAAATAGACCACATAGCAATAAGCTATCGTTGGCGTGGGTCGGTAGGAGATTGCCGCTCCTTCTGGAACACGTGTGTAGATACCGATCACGCACTGGTCCGCGCTCGTGTGTGCTTACGACTGAACGGACGTAGGAAACAGCTGGCGGTAAAACCATCACGTCCCCAGCTCGATCAGCAAACTAAGTCCCTATTTGAGGAAGAACTAGCTAAACACATATCTGAGTTCGACAGCTGCGCTCACCCTGAAGAAGCCTGGAAGAATATTCAATCAGCCATAGATACAGCTGTAAAAGCTGTGAATAAGGTAAATCCAAAGGTGAGTAAAAACCATTGGATTTCGACTGCCTCATCCGAACTGATAGATGCTAGAAGACTTATTCCGGCGAGCTCCGAATTCAATGAGGAGCGAAAGCTGCACAAAAGGAAACTTACGAAAAGTCTCCGCAAGGACCGTGAACAGTGGTGGTTGACAAAGGCGAAAGAGATGGAAAAAGCATCGGCGATAGGCAACACCAGACAACTATTCAGGCTTATCAGGGAAACAGGTGGTAAAAGGCAAATGATAAGCGAAACAATCTCTGAGAAAAATGGCACCATAATTAGCTCCCAGGATAGACGTCTGGAGCGCTGGAAAGAACACTACGAGGAGCAGTTTAATTGGCCCACATCCACACTTAGCCTGCCGGACATCCAACACCTCCCTGAATGGGATATAGACACAGGTCCTCCGTCCCTAACTGAGGTTACTAGAGCAGCCACTAATCTGAAGCAAGGCAAAGCAGCGGGACCTGATGGATTGACTCCAGAGGTATTTAAGTATGGTGGAGACAGTTTACTGTCTGCGTTAACTGAGGTTCTAGGCAGCGTCTGGGAATCAGAGGAAGTCCCATCGGGTTGGTGTAAGTCACTGATCATCCCGATATACAAGAAGGGAGACAAGTCTTCTTGTGATAATCACAGAGGCATTAGCTTGACTAATATAGTATCCAAAATCCTAGGCTCAATAATACTGCGTAGACTAAGTGGTGCTCGGGAGACACAAACACGAGAAAACCAGGCAGGTTTTAGGCCAGGTAGAGGGTGTATTGATCATATCTTCACCCTTCGACAGATTCTAGAACATAGGCATTCCTACCGGCGTCCGACAATCATTATATTTCTTGACCTAAAGGCGGCATTCGATTCTGTCGACCGGGAGGTTCTCTGGCGATGCTTGGCTGTAAAGGGAATGCCGAGAAAATACATTGCACTGATTAAGGCACTCTACTCGTACTCATGCAGCCAGGTGAGGGCTTATGGCGAGTTGTCATCTGAAGTGGTGACGACTAGTGGCGTCCGTCAAGGATGCCCATTATCCCCATTCCTATTCAACTTCATCATAGATGTACTAATGGACTTAACCCTAACTCACTTCAGCGACTCAGGGATTGACTTGCTACCAGGGAATAATCTCGTTGACTTAGAATATGCGGACGATATAGTCCTTCTAGGCGAGGACTCTGACAAAATGCAGAGTCTACTGAACACCTTGAGCTGCAATCTAAGAATGTTTGGCATGCGATTCGCCCCTGTAAAATGTAAGATGATGCTGCAGGATTGGACTTCACCGACCCCTAGATTAGAAATAGGAAGTGAAGTGGTAGAGCACGTTGACCGCTTCACTTACTTGGGAAGTACCATCAGCCCCAACGGGTTGATCTCCGACGAAATCTCAGCACGAATACAGAGGGCTAGGTTCGCATATGCCAGTTTACGCCGTCTCTGGCGTAGACGCGATATCCGACTATCGACCAAAGGGCGTGTGTACTGCTCAACAGTCCGCTCCGTCCTCCTTTATGGCTGTGAGACCTGGCCATTGAGAGCAGAAGACATGAAAAGATTAGCTGTCTTCGATCATAGGTGTCTGCGTTCCATCTCCCGCGTGAAGTGGTATAATAAGGTGAGCAATATTGAGGTTAGGCGTCGAGTGCTAGGTAAGGCGGGGAAATCAATCGATGAGACTGTGAAATTACATCGACTGAGATGGTTGGGACATGTGTTACGTATGCCTAGTCATCGCCTTCCTCGACGGGCAATGTTAGCTGATATAGGGCCAGGCTGGAAAAGAGCTAGCGGCGGTCAAACGAAAACATGGCACCAGTCAATGAAATCCACAACAGTTAGTCTAAGTCACGTAGGGAGATGTAGACTTCCTGGTTGGGGTCCTCGGGACGGTAAAAACCAATGGTTGGAAACAATTGGTGACATGGCTCAAAATCGTTCTCAGTGGCGCAGATGCATCCACTCCTTGTGACTTATGATTTCCAATGAAACTGTTTTGTTCTTCGTTATTACTATTCCTTTGTCTCACACCTCTGTTTACTGTCTATATTATGCATTTCTCCTACTTTCTTCTCTTGCTTTGTGTGCTACAAGAAGGGAGTGTGGCGACTTGAACTGCCGCACATCAGTGCAAAGTTCTATGTCGAAAACAGACAGACAGACAAACAGATGCGATACAAAACGGTTGGTTTTCTCAAAGGATCCCATCAGAACACACGACCGATGCGATTACCTTATTGAATAAAGCCACATTCCTGGTACCTAATATGCATTAGTTCAGTTCACCACTTGTGTTACGAGATGTTCTAGTTGCATAAGCATTGGATGCTGAGAAAACCAAGGATTGATGTCTTCATTATCCGTGTATCAGCCGTCTTTGTATCAAACAGGTTACATACTGTTGGTTATCAATAAAGTTGGAACTCTCGAGTGTTTTTTCTCGTCAGTATCAGTTTTTATTTGAAATATCTACAGTACCGTTCACATCTCACCTTTCTTTCCATGTTTTTATAGGTGGAGTCCCAGGTGACATAACCGTCATTTTGGGATTAGTAATTGAAGAGAAATCATCACCATCATTAGCGAACGATGATTTATGCAGAGTTGGTAAGCATATTCGACAGTCACAACGGTCAATGAATTCTCATTTATCTACTAGACCAACTCGAAGTGTATCATGCTCTGAATTAAACTGTGATAGACTGTCCTCCTTTTCTTCCACTTCCTCCCCCACTAACAACTTCTCTTCATCTTATCCTCCAAAGTCTACTTCCTTTTTTACACAATTATCATAAAATAATTCATGTAATTAAAACGCATTTAGAGATGCTTTGTTATTTCCTTACATGACAGAAAAATCCGATATCTTTTCTTATCCCACAGTTATTTATCTTAACTATTTATTTCTGATGACTAAACCGTGTAAAGTGAGTAACGAGAAGAGGGTCAAAGTTGGCCAGTTTGCGGTGTATTTTCAAATGCTACTTTTACTCGCTGTTGAGTGTCGCATGTAAGTATATGTATACGAATGGAATTGTAAATACTTTTAGACTGAACAAACAACGAATCCCATCAAACTGTGAATGTCACATTTTTATCCTCCTTGAGATTTTTTGGTACTCTTTGTTGATACTGTATAACCTAATCCAGTAGTAATTTCTATTTTACTTTCATTTATATTCACACAGTTATCAAAATGCTGTTCTGTTCATGTAGTTTCAGTTCCCTCTTTTTTAAATCTTCTATTCTGAAGATTTCTTCCTTTGATTGTACATAAAACAAATAATAATACTCATACTTTTACAGATTAAATTATGAAAGCCTGATTCTTTTTCTTAAATATATTTTATTAATATACCGAACCAGTGTATAGAATTTAATTGGTGGATGGTGACTAGCAGTGGAATCTAGGTTGTGCATTTCGTCCTATTTGGGACTCGTCATTTGGATATACCTGCATTCCCCAGTGAGTGATGATGTTCCCAATGAGGCTCGAGCCCAGTGCCCATATTCTCAAACGCCAAAGCGTTATCCACAAGAGCCATTTTTTCTACAGCGGGTCATATTGATTATTTATTTGAATGCAGGTACATCCAGATGACGAGTCCCAATTATGATGAAAGGCCCATCCTGGATGTCACTGCTAGTCACCATGCACCAATTAAATTCTAATTACATGCCCAGACATCGTCGAGGCATCTGCACAAGAAGCCGACATGTCAACTTGAGACCGAGTACTTCGGTCCAATCAATCGACGGGAAAATCTAAAATTCAATTAAACAAACCAGTGTATGTCGCGTAGATGCATAGTGAAGCCGGTTACGAAAATTACTGTTGACAAGAAGAATGTGCCTCCATCGGATGTACCTTCTAAAAACACGGAAAGCCCGTTTTGATGAATTTTCATGTCATGGCTCTCATCATATGAGTTTAATCAGTGACCATGTTAAGGCTAACTCTAATGTAACCTTACCTGAGATAATGCAGAAACAGAAATGAGAATTTCAGAAGTTTCTGGACAGACAGAAATAACGGGATTTCCAAAAGTGATTGGTCTCGCTAAAACTCAAGAAAAAAGTATTAGTGCACTTTCCCTGTCTGATAATGATAGGCAGTTGCATGACCCTATCAGCTTAAATACTAAGGTAAATACTAATTCTGTCTCACAACGAACTCATGTTTATGACAATTCTGAAAATCAAAGACCCGTAGCACTCTCATTCATTAGCGCCCGTTTAGAGCTACCCTAACCGCAACTCTGTTCCTTTCAAAGACAGCCAGCGAAGGTCCGCAAATTCCCCCACCAGTCTTAACTCTCATCAATGAGCTGAACGATGATGCATAACCTTTCCTTTAATTCTATCATCATCATCATCATAAATTTAAGGCAGTGTATTCTATCGAACGATGTTTCACTTTTCCAACCTCTCCTAATCGAAGAGCACCCCATATATTCAAACGCATTTCAAAATACTCATCAAGTTACTAGCACGTTCCTTCAAGCACTTCAGCTTCACCACACCTAAAAATACTTCCCTACGACGGATGCAGTTCCCATAGTCTGTACAAAAGTTGTTCAAAAAAGTATGAAAAATATTCGTTTCAAGTTTTGTCACAGAAGTGGGAATGTCGACTTTGTGGTGGTAATATCTCCGATTGACGAAATCTGCCTACATTTCACACCTGACGTCATCAGTTCAAAGGATACACTGTTAAACCGAGCTGGGCGTAAACCTAAAGAAGACAACTTATCTGTGTATACTACCTATTACTCCTCTCCAATCCGTTTTAATTGGTAACGATTTCTTGGTAGAGTCTGAAATGCCTCCTTCACAATCACAACCACAACCTTTGCAGAATAACAATGAATCACATTGTACTCGTCTAATTACAGTTACATTGGTTTATTCATCAAGTTGGTGAGGAAAATGTATTAAGCTAATAAACGAGCAGTCTGACAAATACCCTGAGACATACCTTGGATTGTTCTCATTTCTTCCAGAAGGTCGCGAAGAACGAAGGTTTTGTTATCCTTTTCTAGACCAAAGTCCAGATTTTACTAGTCCTGGGATTTTGCAAACTCACATGTTTGCACTAGTGGGATAAAGACGATACTGTTTTCTGGGAACCGATATTCGAAGGGTAATCTGTTGCGATCTGAAGCTCCTCAATTTTTATGTTCGCATATTGGGCGTTCACAAACCCTCAGTGTAAATCAACCGGTCAGTTTCGCGTGCGTGTCTCGTTAATGGGCAAATCGTCGAAAAATAGTGTCATGTTAAGTGTTCGAGATGAATCGAACTTGTGATGCAATTTTAATTGTTAATTTAATGAAAAATTTCTTCATACATTTGGTTCCCTTGATAAATTTCGATAAAGAAAGGAAGACGAAATTTGCAGTATAAAATTATATTCTATTTCACAGGTTCTCATCAGCTGCAGACTACCTGAAATTACAATGGTTATATAGATGATAATAACATACTTTAATGTTTGAATGGTAGTAGAGAAGAGATTCTATAAAATTGATGCATCGAAAATGAAAGCACTACAGTTTTTAGTTTAAGTTTTCATCATCAATTTATACGCTTTCAAAGTTCAAATGAAGTGGGAGGGTAAGCCAGAAAACAGAAAAAATTAACAAACAGTGTTAGCTTGCAGGTCCACATAGCAACTCAAAAGCGGTTAGAATTTAAAAGATTGACATTTGTTCAGTGAGTTGAGATCACTGAATTACATGACTAATTATTGTAATCAAAATCGAAATTCAGTTACCAAGGCAATGAGAGGTTAATCACACTCTCTTTCTGAGTGCTTTAGTCTGGTTTAAATCGTTTGATTGCGATCGCTTCGGCAAATCGTAGTAAATTTGCTGTCCTTTGTCTATTTAATATTTTGAAGGAAAAATGAGAAGCATGCAAATTTCTATAATAGAAAAGGAAATCTAAATTCAAATATTTCTAGCACGTGTTCATCAGTGTGTGCATTCGTTTATACAGCAAATCCTGGGATGTAAAAAGATATTCGTTTCCATGAATTTTTTCTAGTTGTTATATATGATTGGATTGGTAGATAGGAATGTACACTGAGGATGCCTATTTTCCCTTTTAGTTTTTCGCATGATACCGTAATGTAAAAATTGAATTCCTTGTTTGTGAACGCTGTTCACGTGTTACATGCGGTTCTCTGATCTCTGTCTTTCTGGGATTATATTTGCGCCATATGTTAGATTTTTTTTTCATTGATAATTCCGTTCGAAGTCTGCATAAACACATGTGCCAGTTAATGAAATCAAGCGTTTGGCATACCATGAGATGAATTCTCAGTAGGTGGATATCTGTGATGTAGACTATATGCGTTGCATATCTGTCTCATAGCTGCCGCATTTGTTTTGTCTGATTTGCTGATAAATGTTAACTGGAGTTTTTCAGGACTCAATTCACTAGACACCAACAACAATCTCAACAGCTTTCACATTTCCATTGACCGTAGGCTAGGAAGTACCTTGGTAGGTAGGTAGGTGGTAAGGGTTTGGCTTGTTCGTATTATGGTGAGATGCTGTTATTTCGTCGATGAATTCCAAGCTGCAAACAGCAGGCACATTACCGGCCTGTCCCATGTCGTGGTCATGTGACCCTGTGTTCAGCATTGAGGTGGATCAAGAGCGTACATGTTGAGACGTGAAAGGGGCTGAAACCAGAGGTAACTCCGCCTATCATCATCAAACTGGGAAATTCCACTAACATTTCTTTCAGTGTTAACATGGCCAATTCCTTTTGCAAACGCCACATTTCTGCCTTTTGTGTGTCCTGAAACCCATGAAATTCTAATTCTTGCTTATCCCTTAACTCAGCTGAGGTTACCATAGAGTTAGCCTTAAGAGAGCCATAACATGAAAATGCATTAAAAAGTACTTGCTGCCTCTCTCTCCGTTGACTCAGTACTCTCCTTGTCCACAGTGGGTTTCGTAGCCATCTTCATTGTGCGTCTGCCAGGCATATTGGTTTGGCATGTTGAGCACTGTTATTATTATTATTATCACTAGCATGCGTAGCAGAACTGTTGTCCTTGTTCCCTGTGTTAAGTGTCACTTAATGTTCTGTTGTAGAAGATTGTGTTGTAACATTGAATAAACCGCCTTTATGTGATCAAAAGCCGTGAAAACTGGTTAAAGCCGTACACAGACTTTTTTAACTTAATTTTATTCCTTTGATTTCCCAAGGGGATATGGGGCTTAAAGCTATAGCAGCAGTGATGTTTTTCTACGGTATAGGATTGCTAGTCTAATGCCCAACCTTCCCTCTTTACCGGGCCTACTGTCGGCTAGGCCAAGTAAAGGAGTGCGTCGGCAGGAGATCCAATCCTAGATCACTTGCTTGGTAGGCCAATGTCCTACCAATGAACCACCGGCGCAACGTACGCAGAAATTGGTGGTGCTTTTGTGAGGTAGAAGAATTCTTATCAGTTCGACTTATTTGTCCTAATGGTTCAGTTTCTTTTGGCGTTCATATAAGAATAAAACTTGTGCACTGTGGTAGAGTGTAATTCCATAATGGGTAAATTTTTATTTTGATAGAGTCTCACAGTGTTATACAGTAATATTTACTGATGACGTTTCGAGCACAATTTATTGCTCATAATCATATCAAGTTAATCACACGACTTCCTGAATTCATTTATATAGTTCCATTGTTTTTCACTTGATTTGATTGGTAGTATTATTTCCCATATTTCAGGGATGAGTGATGATTCATTCCTATTGCATGTGTTGGGTGTAGATTCGATGAAAAAGGATTCAGTAATCAACCTCTCTCTCCACCTACCTAGATTACTTTTTAGAATTTTAACCCTCTCCCACCCTATTGTGTGGTTGTGTGTTAATGCATGCATTGCAATTGCCGAGCTTTTTTCTAAATTACTTATCTTCTCTGGGTCAACCATTCTTACCTTAGTTAAATTCTTATGTTCTGACAATCTGACTACCCCTGACCTACTGGTTTGACCTATGTAGTTGACCTCACAGTCATTGCAGGGTATTTTGTAAATTATATTATTTTGTCTAATTGGGTCCACTGGGTCTTTTAACCTACAGAGTTTGTCCCCGAATGAGTTTGTAGGTTTAAATGCCACCCTAATTCCTGCTTTATTTAGGATCCTACGTAGGGTCTCAGATGTCCCCTCTTTATGTGATATAACAGTAGATGACTTATATTCTCTCTTATTCATGTTATCATTACTAGTTTCGCAATTCTTTTTATTTTTCTTTTGGCCTTTTTCAATCTTCCTAATGAATTTTAGAGGATAGTTATTTAAAACCAAAGC